ATTGAATCGCGAGAGAGGAGCCATTTTGTGCGCCCGTTATTATTATTTACTATTATCATTATTATTATTATTATTAATATTATTATTTTATGCGGGTACCTTTTTGTTTGGGTTTGGTTTGAAGGGAAACCAACAGGAAATCAACAAGTTGCGATCGGTGGATTCGAGAGAGGCGATCGCAAAGGGGACTTATGGAGTCTGACCCTTAGAAACACCGAATTCCAACTGGTGGTTCCTTTGTTCGGGGACCAAACAATCCCTGAATAATCCATCCCTTGGTTTCCTTATACGCAATCCAACTGGTGGTTTCCTCTCGAAGAATCCCCACAACCGGTTCATTCACCCACCTTCCCGGCTCAGCGAGGAACTTGAGACCGAGGAGTCACGAGGGTAGAAACGTTTTCTGGGTTGGCCGTTCGGGACCCCCAAAATGGTGGGTTTCCTCAAAGGTTCCCCTTTAAATCAAGCAAGGCAAAGGATACCCCGCAAAAAGAAATGTTGATTTTCTTCAAAGGTTTTCCGAATCAACTAAGGCGGTTGCTGGACCGTGTTCTCTTGACTTGCTGGTGCTCAGGAGGGAATGACCCGGAAGGGTGTTGGGAATGAACCGGAAGTGGATTCCCTCAAAGGAAGCTATCTTGGGGATGGTTTTTCTCGGGGTCAGTCCTGCCTGTCGAACCAGCAAGTCAATGAAGCATTACTTCCAAAACGTCTCAAAATAGGGCCCCCAAGCTTGGTTTCCTTTTTGATTGAAATAAACATAAAAAGGTACCAACCCAAAACTGGACTGTCCTCAGATCCCCCTTCTAAAAGTGTTAACTTTAAGCGGGTGAATGGACACCCAACAAGTAAACCAACTAAACCCAACTGAAAATATGTCCGGAACTGGACGGCTGGACCGTTTAGATTGATTTATTCGCTTGCTGCTTCTCAGTAGGGAATCGTTTGAAATGCAACTTGGACGCGGGTTGGTGCTTTGCAGCCCGACAAACCCGAGAAAAAACGGTTCAAGACGCGGGAAGGTGGCAAAACACAGATACGCCAAGCACCATACGAAAGGCAACCCCTGCGAAGAGGAGTTTCCGGGGCGGGGCCCCTTTTTATTTTTTCACGGAAGGGCAGGAGTCATTGGATGGGGCCAGGGAGATGGAGAGATCGATAGGGTGCAAGTCATTTGGCCAGAGTGCGGCAAACAAGGCGAGTTCGTTCCACCCTGTACGCGGGCTTCGGTGTCCTTTTTGGAACCCCCAAGAGGTGCAGGAGTCAATGGACACCCGGCGAAGTGATAAACAACTTTTGCGTGCGAAATCCGGTGATTTCGGTGTAACCATTGTCAAGACCTACCCTTTTTTCCTGACCAAACTCAAGTTGGGAGCCAGGCTCTGGCCTTTCTAATAAGTTAAACAGGTTTCATAGTGTGAGCTTCGGAGGCCCCCCCTGGCCCCTCCCGCCCGAAATTAGATAATTTCCTCAAACCGGCCACCGCTTCTGGTTTTGGTGGTCCTCCGCGTTTCGGGCCTGAAAGCGGTTCGGGCAGATTTGGCTGTGGGTCAAGAATAGGTACCCAAAATGGACCCTGAGTAAATGGAAGCCCGGACTAAAGCCTGCGGTCCATCTCCTGGTGGTTTAATTTTGACTCCATACCCACATGCTTATAACGGTTTATATGGGCGCGTTCTGTATTGAGGACACCCTTCTGCTGATTTTATCGCGAATCCAAAAGACTCACCCATATCCTGGTGGTTTAATTTGGACTCGAGACCCATGTTCTGACTCCACACCCTGGTGGTTTTTTTTTTGACTCCACGCCCGTTTTTTTTCGGCCGAGGATGCTGCACATGTTCTACGACCTGCAGCGTTCCCCGGACGGCCTCTGTGCCAGCACCAGGCGGGCGCGTTCTCGGCTTTTCCGGTCGGACGGTGGGCGAGCAACTGGTGCAGAAAACGGGGGTTGGACCCAAAAATCCGCAAGGTTTATTTGGTTTGGTTTTATTTGGGTTGATTGGTTTTGCGTCTGTCTTTTTTCTCTTTGGTTTTTGTGGTTTTGCAGTGTTTGGCTGGCTGTTTGGGCCTGTGATTTAAGAAGACTTTTGGTTGTCAGGGTTGTGGGAAGGGGCAGTTTCCCACTTCTGTGATGCTGTGGATGGACGAAATGCGTTCGCATCGTTTGTTGGTATTGCAGAAAAATTATATCATTCCAGGGGTTTCTTGGGCGGTGCAAACAGGATTTCGTATCCACAGTAGGCAACCTCCGCCTAGTGAGAACAAGTGATTGGGCCACTAGTCACTAGCGGACTTCCTACTTTGTAAACAAAAGAGAACCAGCCTCCCCTGTTTTTGGAACCAGCAATGTGGGGGTGTGTTTTTTGAGGTGCCTGTTTTGTAATTGTTCAAAGGGAGCCCAAAAGGACAACCGCCATTTTTGTGGGCTCCCCCCCCAAAAAAAAAACAGAAGAATGGCACCCATATCTCTAGGGGTACCTTCCCCATTCTTTCCAGGGATCCGAATCTTTCTAGAAGATCTCCGGAAACCGATGGAAAACGGATCCGGTTTTTGGAAAGAACGATGGTTGAAAAGAATGGACAAGGAATCGACCCCTAGAATATCGGTCCCAACTCTCATGAAACGAAGCATCGCCGGGTCCTGGGTGTCAGCCCAAGTCGCTGCAGCCAGAAAGGGTGGGTCAAAAACATGGCAACGGAGCACCGCAGGAAAGGGGAAAAGGGGAACAACTGAGCCAAACACTCAAGGTCAAACATCCAGAAAAAAAGGCGGTCCTTAGGCCGAAACAACTCCACGCCCGCGGATCTTTCATCCTCTTCGTGCGAACGATCGGAATGCATCCAGAAAAAGGCGGTCCTGAGGCCAAAACAACTCCACGCCCGCGGATTTGTTTCCGTCCCTCGATCTCGTGCGAAAAAAAATTATCCGCCGTCTTTTTCTCGCGCGGTCGTAGGCGGTTCCTGAGCACGCCCCCGGTGGGGTCCCTGAACCAGTTGCGGGCCGAGCTGCTGCTGCGGTACTCCGCGCAGCACTACTGGGCCGCAGCCCGAGAGAGAGTCAGAGTCACAGCTGGGGTCTGGGCGGCTCCAGGAGTCCAGGGGTCCACTTTTCGACCCCAAGATGGACTCTGGGGTAGACTTAGGATACATTTTACATTTTACCAGTGTCTCAGATTGAAGCAAACAATAATATATACATATCACTGGGCCTAGCTCTAATCATGGACTTAAACCCAGGGGGTCCCTTTTTTGGGGGTAATGAACCATCCCTGGGTTTCAGTCTACCCTGTAGTCAGAAAGTGGAACCCTGGGTCTGAGACTTTAGGGGTCGATTTGGACACCTCCCGTCGTACTGGATGGTTGCGAAATCCATTTCGCATCACCAACTCAGAAACCCCGGCTTTGGATGATTCCCTGTACATACCAACAAAGAATGCTTTTTCTTAGGTGGTGCGAATTGGATTCTGTCCATCCACAGCGTGCCCATGAAGTTTGGTTGTCCGCTTGTAGTCAACAAGGTACATGCCGAGCTCGTAGTCGTTTAGCAAGCGACTGCTGGTCCCCCAAAAAGGCATCGGTTGTCCTCGTGGTTTCCCTTTGAACCACACCACACTCATGGCCAGCCTCAATCAAAAACAGGAACCGCACCCACTTGCAAGGTTGCTGGACTTGAGTCACGTGTTGGGGTTTGGCCAATTCTGGTGAGAACCAACACAAAAGAGCTTTTTGTTTGGCCAGTCCACTTTGGAAGTGAGACCAGGCAAATCATAGGCTGGATGTATACTATTGAGGGCTTAGTAGTTAGAATGAGTTGTGGGATACTTTGACACCAAATTAAGCCTTAAAAAGACAACACTCCTCCTGAAACATGGAGTTGTCGGAAGTACAGCTGCAATGGTGTTAAGTGCCCACCCGATAAAGACAGTTGATTGGGAGAGGCGGGATTTCCCCAATTTGGGGTTTCATGAAACTAATTTGATTCTATGTTCCCCTCGAGAAGGCCAGACAAAATGACATTGGGGACCCGAGCCAAGACATTGCGCAGCTCGCAGCTCGCGCCATGCGGTATCGTTGTGATTCGCCTGGATAGCTTTGTTGGGGACAGTGGTTTGTCTTTCGGCCGATTCCCAGTTGTTATAAACCTTCTGAAGGGACCCCATAGTGCATAAACTTATGAACCTTGAAGGGCGCGTTTATTTTTGACGGGATAGTGAATTGGTGACTGGAGCATGAGGCTAATCCAAATGCTGAGATTTCAACCGGGGCAACCGCAATCGCAAGGAGTCCTTTGACATGGAACTGGTCTTCCAGCAACTCCCTGTCAGGTTCCATGTGGACGGGAGTGTGATTCAACAGTCTTAGCTGGTGCGATTTCTTGATTTCGCAACCACCCTGCAGTATGGGTGGTTTTATGTCTTCCTTTCTTCTGGGCGAGTCTGTACGTTCCAGCGATCCCCGCGATCCTCGCCTTCCATTTGGTGAAACGAATATCTTTTATTTCCCCTGTTGGTTTTAAAGGGACTCCATATCGCTTTTTTTTTTTTTACAACAACAAGAACAACACATTTTTTTTTCAGGGGGAGAAAAGGCAAATGAAAGACTAACCTCCATTCTTTGCAAGGATCCGACTCTCAGGAAACCATCAAACACCCAGCTTGGAAACAGCTCCGGTTTTTGAAAAGAACGATGGGGACTTCTCAGCTGGAGGTCGCCTTGATCCGCGCTTTCGGATCCGGGTCCCGAGCCCCGAGATCCGATCGGGACGGGTCTGGGGATCGCCGGTGTTGCGAGGTGCGCACGCAGGGCCGCAAGATCGACGCCGTCTTCATCTCGGCGAAGGGCTCTGGCCATTTGGGCGAGGAGGGGGGGGTTGGGGTGGTTGGGGGTGGGGGGGGTGGTGGGGGAGGTTGGGGGAGGTTGGGCAGGTTGGGCAGGTTGGGAAAAGAGTGAATTCAAAAGTTAGAAAAGATGAACTCGAAAGATAATGCTTTTCACTTTCGTGGACCTCCCATGCCAGGAATGAACTTCAGATGTAATTCTTTGCCACTGCATTTGGGAGCTTGGAATTCACTCTGCAGATAATCCCCAAGGATGGCTGGAACACTAACACTATTTCTAGGAATTAGCTGCTGATTTAATTCTTTCCATTGCGGTTGAGACTCTGATTCCAGGAATTAACTTGTGACTTAATTCTTTTTAAACATCATCATCGCCCTCATCATCATCATCATCATCATCATCATCATCATCATCATCATCATCATCATCATCATCATCATCATCATCATCATTCTCGTCCTCATCATCATCATCATCATCATCATCATCATCATCATCATCATCATCATCATCATCATCATCATCATCATCATCATTCTCGTCCTCATCACCATCATCATCACCACCACCATCATCATCATCATCATCACCACCATCATCATCATGTTCATCACCATCATCACCACCATCACCATCACCATCATGATTGTCCTCATCGCCATCATCACCATCACCATCATCATCATCACCATCATCATCATCACCACCACCATCATCATCATCATCACCACCACCATCATCACCATCACCATCACCATCACCATCACCATCACCATCATGATTGTCCTCATTTGAGAGCAGTCTTGCGCAAAGACTTGTCGCATCTTCTGTGTGATGTGTCACGGCCTCAGCTCCCAGCGAAGACAGCAGCAAAGCTGCATTGGGTCCTATCACGGGTCTGAGTTCGCCTCACGAGGAATTAAATTCAAAATTGTAATTCTTTCCCGAAAGAGGTATTGGCGCGCTTGCTGCAAGAATAATTTTCTCTTTCAGATGGGAAGTTCGTATCCACTGAGTCACGCGGAATTAACTTTGCAGTTCTTTGCAGTCAATCTTTTTTGACTCTTGCATTCACCCTCTTCCGGCAGGTTGGGCAGGTTGGGCAGGTTGGGAGTTTTTTTGCGGGGTTGGGGTTGGGGGGGTTGGGAGGGAGGGAGGGGAGGGAGGGAGGGAGAACTTCTAGAAACGATTTGTTTCATTTGATCCGCTTGGCACGGGTGTCTCCTTAGGGCTCATGCGTGCCCGGTGTCAACGCACACACCCTTTTGCCCCTCCAATGGATAAACTGCAGCGATTGAAACCAACCCCTTTTTGAGAACCTGGCAGCCTTAGGCTGGTCAACCCCTAGTATGTAAGTTAGGACTTTGGTTCGAGCAACTGTGGCTGGTTCCCTCATAGCCATAGGTACAACTCACTACGTGTGAGTTACATATTTATGCGTAGTCGCGCAGGCTGAGAGAGACAGAGAGAGAGAGAGAGACAGAGAGACAAATGAAGTTGTACACCAAAGTAGCCAAACTTCCTCCCCCCACGCAAGTTGCCGCACATAGGGAGTGAGAGAGAGAGAGAGAGAGAGAGAAAAATAAAGAAGAGCGGTGAATTTGCACGTCCCTGAGCTGCCAAAACATCCACCCACCTTTATGCGCACTCTGAGATGCCTTTCAAGGCCTTCCTCGCCAGGACAGCCCGGAAGGCAAGGAGGACATGCCCCTCAAGGCGGGGAGAAGGCGAAACTTCAGCTGGCTGCAAAGGCTGTATTCCTTTTTGAGGTGCCCTTTTTGGATGTGAATTGAAGGACAACCCAAAAGGACATCACCCACATAGGAACCCAGATGTTGCATTGAAGGAACGTTGGAATCTTTCCACTTGCCCTTGCTGTTCCTGAAAGGATGGAGCAGAAACACGCTTGGATCGAACAGATAAATACCCTCCCGTCCACTAACTTTCCCGGGTCCTGGATGACTTTCCCGAAAACGGGACCTTTTGGTGGATCTCATGTTGGTGGGCAGGAGGGTACATGGACAATAAGATGAATGCAGAAATGCACAATGACTTTTAATGGGGAATTTCCTGAAAAGTGGGTGGTGGACAAAAGTTCCCTAAACGTCCACCAGTTTGGGTCCGCAATTAACATTCCTACCCATGACTGCATCTTAGGGTCGCCATTTCCCTGTTGAGGAGCCGGATGAGAGTCCCGGGCCCGTGGTGGTGTGGTGCAACCCCAACGCCGCCTACTACGAGCCTCGGCTCGAGCGGTCGCAGGCCCGTTGCGGTGGTCAATCCCAGGTGCGCTCAGGCCAGACAATGCCACACCAGGTCAGCACCGCAATGGGAGCCTACGCAGTCAGGTCAGGACTGCTCGAAAAGCGAAACAGTCTGGAAGACGAAAGTCCAAACCACACCAAACAAAAATAACACCAGCTCCGCAAGCAAGAGCCAAAGCAAACAATGCGGCACGAGGGAGAGAAAACCAGCGCAGACCGTGAAGCGAGATCCTCCACAAGCCGTCAAGTAAAAGTATGCCATGAAAGGTGAGGCAAGCGATCGAGAATATCTTCAAATGAAACATACCCAGTGACTGTACGCAAAACTACAATGAAGCAAGCATTTACGGAAAGACAACACCATATGGTGGCGGAACATTGTTTTTCTTCATCGTTTTGTTTCTCCGTTTAGGTGACCATCAATGGCGAATTCAACTCTCCCCAGGTTTTCCCGGCATCCTGCCTTCGCTGGGGCTGCCGACGCGGGCATGGCAAAAGCAATGGACGCAGACGGAAGGAGTTGAGTGTGGAGCTTCCTTTGCAGCAGACCCCGTTCTACAAGTCCCACCCGTAGGGGCGTTCATAGAGAAGTGGAACAGCTGCCCGGGTGGGTATGGTTCTGAGCAAGGTTGCTGAGGAGCGTTGGCAGGAAGTACCTTCTGGACAGTGCGACTCTCAGGAACTGGAGCCTTCCTCCAATCATTGAAGTCAATCGGCCCCAGATCCTTGTCGCTATTGTCGGCTTCGGATTCTTCAGGAATCCCCCAAAAATTCAGGTCATTTCCTTCCTAAAACGGAACCCCCCCTTTCTAAATCGTAGGGCCCGGAATGATCCGAGGTTGACATTGGTTCCAATGAATACTGGGGATGTGGTCCGAGTTCGGGGCTTGTTGGTGAACCATGGGGCAGCTCTTTGGATCCCTGGCGCCCATTCTGTGCAAATGAGGTGGCGAGCCAAGCATCCACCTCGCCTTCAAACATAAGCGAACTCCTTGCTAGAAATGGGCGCGCCGTTTCTTTGGAGGACCCCCCCCAAACAGAAATCAAAGGTTTTCTTTCTGGTTTCCCGTTAAAATCACCAAATAAGCTTGGGTGATGCTTCCAACAGCATGAGGCACATTTGCACGGCTCCTCGAAACCGCCCTGCAGCCCCGAAACTCTCCTCGAAACCCTCCTCGAAACCGCCACCCATCCCAGTAGCGTGGAGCCGCCCCGGACCCCATAGCAGGGGGACCCCCCAAAATCATTTTCCTTGTGGGTTCCCCCTAAAAACCCTTCAACGAAAAGGGGTACCAGCTCAAAAAGTAGAATAAACCCCCACAAAAACCGGGTAACCCTTTTTTCCAGGAGTAGCTTCCACTTCCATTCTTTCCAGGGATCCGAATCTTTCAGGAAACCAAGCACCCAGGTTGGAAACAGCGATCGGTTTTTGAAAAGAACGACGGTTGAAAAGAATGGAAAAGGAATCAACCCCTAGATTTCTCGGCGGGCACCAAGGAGACCATGGCCTACGAGTCCCACTGGCTCGACTTCTACCTCTCGCAGGCCCGGCCACGGGTAAAAAACGGCATCCGTGGCCAGGAGGGCAGAGGGCAGAGGGCATGGCGAGTTTGGGCCATGTGAAGCACGGAAAAGGAGCCCGCTCTTTTTGCAAACACTTCATTCATGTTGACCCCGGACAAATCAATAGCAGTACTTCTTCATAGGGGACGGGGAATCGTTTTGCTAGGTTTAGCGGGAGCTCAAATCACAAAAAGAAAAAAAACCAGCCCGTTCCAGTTTCTTGGGGGTCCGATTCCCGAAAAAAGGGTGAGCCACCCAACTGTGAGCTTTCGTAAAAACCTGGTGCTTGGTTTCATCCAGTCAGAGGTGAGGCCAGGTTCGGATCTAAGCAGAACCCATGTCAGTTTTTTTTGTTTCTTCTTTTTCCCCCGTTGGCATGTTTTGAGGTTTGTTGGTTTTGGTTTTGTTCATGTTTAGTAGGGCTTGCATCAAACACCGTTTTTTGCTACCGTTCCAAGGCTTGGAAAGGAGCCATATGCATAAAGCGACCGGCTTCTTCCATTTGCGTTTCCGAATTTCTCCTGGCTTCAAAAGATAATCTATCACTACCTCCAATTAACGGAAGGAGCCGTTCGACGTTCGGGTCCTGGTTTGGACCATTTTTGTGTAGGGAAGGGTCCAAACATCAGAACCCGACATGTGACAGTGGGAGGGCATTTTACTGAAGATATGTTTGTTTCGTATTTTGTCCTCTTACTAAGGGAATCGATTTCACGACTGGATGTTTTTGTTTGTTTTTCAGGGGATCGACGTCAGCAATGGCATCGGGTTTGCTTGGGCTTCGAGTCCTTGTCCAGGGCTGCAGCATCTTCGTCTTCAACTACAGCGGCTTTGGGCGGTCCGAAGGCGCCCCCACACCAGGCGCGCGGTTTGGGGCGGTTGGGGCGGCGGTGGATCGCCCGGCGGCGTCGTGGTGCTCTTTGAGTTTTGAAGCCACCAAGCATCTTTTGAACCCACTCGACCCTTTGGTTTTGAACCCGTAAGACACTCATCTTTACTTTTTTTTTGACGTTTCTTTTTGTTACCCCCGCCAACCATTCCAAGTGGATCTCCCCTTTGCAGGTCTTCAAACGGCGAAACAGGAACAACATAAGTGGGATCCCCTCCGATGGATACCCCGCCACACTGGTAAGGGAACAAGGACATCACAAAAAATCACCGTACAGTTGGGTGAGATTTTCTTTGGCGCCATTCCCCCTTTTTGGTTTAGTCATCCCCTTCCCCAGATTTCTACTTTTAGCCAGCCCTGTTTTATTTACCACGGTTTTGCGGCGGGTGCTTGGTTTACTTGCCATAGGGTACCGCAACAGTTTGGACAGGCAAGTCGGTGATTGCTGGTGCGCAGTAAGGAATGTGGGAATGAACCCAGGCCTTGGTCCCTCATTCCCTCAAAGATGTTTTTTTTGGAGTCCTTCCCTCATTCCCTGGCTATTGCACCAGCAAGTTGATCTTTGATTTCTTTGATCCGGTTCCCAGATGCTCGACATCGACACGTTAGGGCAAGAAGCCATCGATGCAAGACGTTACCTGAGCCACGTGCTCAAAACCGATTCGGGTAGATGGTTCGGTTAGTAAGGGACAATCCCCTTGCCATAAATGGCTGCGGATATCCGCCTTCTTAACTCTTTACATAGTTCTGGGCTTGGACCATTTTAGTACCGGGTTTTGATTATGACTCACCTGGACGCTGGAAGGGATTTGGAAAGAGTACTGTCCTTTTGACCCTATGCTGTGCACTCCTATGCTCGGAAAGTGTTTGTATTTTGTAAATTTTCCTTTCTGGGAGCCATTTTTGGTGATACAAGTTTTTCTCGGGCGCAGTGATTTGTTGGACAAGGTCTTGGCTTTGACTCGGTTTGCGCAGCTTTGACGGAGAGCATGCCACTGGCATGAGACATGCAAGTCGAATTCTTGGAATAGTAGCCCAGCGTGAACTGACAGCCTTAAGTACCTTTTCATGTCCTAAGACAGATGATGCCCCAAGGCAGGTGCCTGTTCATTCCAAGTCCTCTTCCCAAAACGGGTACAGGAGCAAAACAAAAATACACGAACCTCACCGAAAGCAAAACGTAAAGAAATACGAAGCCTTAAACAAAAAAAACAAAACAATCACATTGGAGCAAGTGGCTGAGGCGAAACAAAAAAGGGGGTGATCTTCCAAACCATCCCGAAGACGAGCGCCACGTCTTGACTGCTATTGGGCAACGGATCTTTAGACGTTAACTCTTTGGTTGAAATCAAGTTGGGTTTTCCACCCGCCTCCCCAAAAAGTGATTCACTTCTTGCAGGGGGGTCGAATCCGCAGCAACCAAGGAAGCTCGCGGATTCCGGCGGCTCTTCTCATTTTTTTCTTTGAGAAGGGTTCTGATTCCTTGAAACTCCAAGTAAAAAAGGATTTGTGCTTTTCTTCCCATGGCCACTGGCGGGCCACTGGGCATCTCAGCAAGTCCTTTTTTTCTTTTTGGGCTGTGTGTTAACGTGAAAAAGGGCGCGGGGCGGGTCGCGAGGCCGCCTCAGTGCGGACGGGGAGGCGGTGGTGGACTTCCTCAGGCGCCGCGGCTTCACGCAGGCGGTCCGGGGGCTTCGGTTCGGGGGCCGGGGGGTCGGGGGGTGAAAGGGCGGGGCCCCGTTTTCCCCGAAAACATCTGAAAGCTAAGGGGTCTCAGCCCAGACAAGGTTTGGGGGTGGCTTGGGGGCGCTCTGGAGTCAGGTTCGAGCAAGGTTCCGGAGGTTCCGGGATGGTTTGGTGCATAAGGTTCAAGGCAGGTTCCGGAGGTTTCGGGGTGGTCTGGTGCAGGCCAAGTGTAAGGTTCAAGGAAGGTTCCGGTGCAGGCCAGGTGTAAGGTTCTGGGGTGGTGTGGTGATGGCCAGGTGTAAGGTTCCCCAACAGCTGAAAGCTTTGGGGTCTCAGCCCAGATAGGCTCCTGCCAGGGTTCCGCCAGAGTTCCACCAAGGTGCCACCAGGGTTCCACGAGAGTTCCACTAGAGCCGTAGGCACTAAAAGGAGCATCGCATGCTGTTGGGGATATTCCCTGAGCTTGTTTTTTAACGCGCAAAGCGACTCTGGAAGTGGAAATATGAAGGTTTATGGTCTTCCATTTGGTTAAGGCCCCTGGCAAAACTGAGAAAATATGTCCAGTAGTGATATTTCCCCCACAGCTGAAAGCTTGGGGTCTCAGTGCAGATGGCTGTGGCTCAAAAACATGTACCAAAAGTCTTAGTAAATGGAACCAAAGACTAACACCTGCGTATCCCTAGCCCTTCAATTTTGAGCCACGCCCAGATAGGCTCCGGGTTCTGCAAGGTCTGCGGGGTGGTGCGAGCACTAAAAAGGGCACCGCGTGCTGTTGGGGATGTCCCCTGCAAGGACCCATTTGAAAATTGTGGTTTTCCTCTTGGTTTCCCTTTTAAGCCACAAAAAAGGGGTGCCCCCCAAAAAAGAGAAACCCAGGTTCACCTAATTATGGGGGTCCGAATCCTTACTTGTTTAGACATATATGTCTTAAAATAGGAGACCCTTAAAATGGAAGGGCTTGGAACAACAAAACAAACCAAAAGGGGGTTCCCCCATACAAGACACACCCATATGGGTGTTTCTCCAAACTAGGAACCCCTCCAAATGGCCTGTAAAAGGCAAGAGAAAGCGCCCATCTCCATTCACCAACCACTACCCGTCCACCCCAGCCCCTAGCCCCACTCCAACTCCTCACCCCAAGTTGCGGCTCTCTATCTCCAGCTTCCTTTTCTTCCAGGGGAAGCTTCTCCATTCAAAACCAGGGATCCGAATCTTTCCAGGAAACCATCCAAAAACCCCAGGTCGGAAACAGCGATCGGGTTTTGAACAGAACGATGGCTGACCCCTAGGAAAGAAATCCGGATGGCCCAGCCCGACTTAGAAACCACCCATCTCCAACTTGGGTTTCTCGGAGCTTTTGGTAGGTGAGTTCGCCCATTTTCGTCGTTGGATGCGTGGTTGGATGGAATCGGAGGTTCGCTGGGGGTACGATTTTGGACTTTGACCCATGGCATTGTGAAGACTAAATGTGGACCATTGTGAAATGTGACTGAGAGGCTCTTTCAGTGGTTTTCTCGTCGGGAAGCCCTTTGTTTCTGTACCATACCCAACTATTCTATTTGCTTACATTGTAATGTTGACCCCATGGCCAGCTCTCTGGGAACCCCGAAAGGTGGCGGTGCACGGCCGCTCCATCGGCGGCATCGCGGCCTGCCGCCGCTCCGGCGAGCTTGCGCGAGCGATTTGGGGGGTTGGTGCTGTGGGGCTTCCTCGGAGAATTCTACTTTGTTTGTTTTGTTTTAGGGGGACCTCTTTTTGTTTCCTTTTTTTCCAATGTGGTGTCTTTTTTGTTGGGAGCCTCTTTTTTGTGTTGCAATTAGGTGTCTTTTTTTCTGCAAGAACCACTTTTGATTGATTGGTTTTTGCTTCAATTTGGCGACCTTCTTTGGGAGAACCTATCTTTGGTTTGCTTTAAAGAGAAACAAAAAGGGCAACCACCATTTTGGGGGGTTCCCCTAAAAGAAGAGGAGCAACCATTTGGTAGGTGCCAGGTCCAATCTTTGTGAACGGGTATGGGATAACATGCCACACTTGTATATAGCACCAAGACGGTCCTGTAATAGACACTAATTATTTGAAATAGCTACTAGGCCCAATGTTTGTCAAGGGCCTTCCGTGTGGGAGGCTGTTTCTATGCCAGGGATCGCCAAGAACAATCCGGACATCGTCAAGGCACGGTCGCATCGCCAAGGAATGCATTTGGGTGCATGGTTTGTTTTTGGAGGAAGACCTTTTCAGGTTGGTTGAAAGGAACATCAACAGGACAAATCCCCCTTTTTGTTGAGTCCCTCCCCCATTTTGACACATACCCATTTGCCAATGTGAAACGACTAAAAGAAGCCATGATGAAAGTGACCGACCTGGATCATATTAAGGGATGCAGGACCTACCCAGTAAGGTCTTGGAACAATCGTCCAAATTTGCAGGATTCATATTTGGGTGTGTCGTTTTTTCACGGGACCCCCTCCCCCCCCCCCCCCGAAAGAAAACCTTTAAAAGCCGCAAACGCATTGTGGCTGACTCCAGATGGGAGTTTCCAAGAAGTGCCCCTCCCCCCCCACGAAAAAACACGTTTTTGCAAACATCGCCACGCACAGCCACTCGGCACCACCCAGACCGGACCATTTTTCTAGCCATTTACATGGTGATTAAATTTGCCCGGGGGGTGCTGTGGCTCCGAAGCATGCGTTTCACGCATGTGTGGCAATGGCATTGAAAAGCTCAGTGTGTGCCTCTCTTGAATGTACAGCATGCCTCTCATGGATGCATGGCATATCTCTCAAGGTAAACCATGCTAAGTCACAAAGAAAATTAACAGATGTTCCAATCCCCTAAAGTCCAATCTTGGTGGTGCCGCGTACCCAAAAGACACGTATGGCTGTTTCGTTCTTGGACCCCCTTCCAATTTTCACACACCTATTTTGGGGTCATCGAGGGAACCCGAATTCAATCTTGTGATTTCGTTGGATTCCGGGGAAAGCTATGGTCAAACAAAATTAATTACTGTTCCCCACGGATTTCGGTGACATATTGTGGGTGGACGACATCCTGCACCAGTTGGTAGATGGTTTACCCCAGTCTTTATAAGGCTTCATTTGTCCCAAGTGGTTTACTCCAGTATTTATAGGGCTTCATTTGTCCGAAGTGGTGCAGATTTACCCGAGTATTTCTAGGGCTTCATCTATCCCAAGTGGTGCGAAGTGGATTTTGTCCATTCAGCAGTTGGACGATTTTCGTTTCCCATCTCCTCTTCACCGAGCCTTCGTTCAGAAGTGGTTGTGGGTCGAAACCAATGGGATCCCATTCTGCGGTAGGTGAATTCACCACCCATTTTCGTCGGGATTTTAGTGGGGATTGGGATGTTCACTGGGGGTACGATGTGGCTTTTGACCCATGGCCAAGTGGCCGTATGTCTTCTTTGTCAGGCTTCAAGCGGAAAACCAAGCTTGCGGGTCCCTGTTTTATGAGACAAGCTCATCGCCCATCTTCCAGCGTGGCGACGTCGCCATTTTTTCTCTCAGAAGGCTTGAAGAGACATGCGAAGGGCACACTCTGACATGGGCAGGTGAAGCATTCCTCGTTGCACCGAACCAGCATTTGCAGTTGTTTCCAGTTTCCAAAGAGACCTACAACACCACTTCTTTGGGCCTTACATCACCCCCCTCCCCTTTTCCCGTCCGTCTTTCGAGCCTTCCGACCTCTCCTGACCCCTCCCCTCCTTTTCACCCCTCCCCTCCTTTTCACCCCTTCCCCCTGACCCCTTCCCCCCTCCCCTCACCCCTTCCCCCCTCCCCCCGCACGCTTCGCCTCAAGACTCGGATTCACTCCGAGCGCTTCGGAGGTGCTGGTGGCAGACCGGACCTTCTCCACCCTGTCGCGGGCGGCCAAGTTCACCTTCGGGGACTGGGCGGCCAAGGCGCGAGGGCGCGACGCCCGGCGCCCGCGACGCCGCGCGGATCGTCCGAGTGGAAGGAGTCGAAGGTGGACGTCGGGTGGAAGGAAGGAAGGGATGGATGGAAATGGGGAAGGTGTTCCTTCCTCCACTTGGGGGATGGTCGATATCAACCAAGGAACATTCCGAAGTATCCTTTTTGTGGTTTCCCCGAATGGTCATCCCATGCAAAGGACCTGCTTGGTGGTCAATAGAAAGTTCTTCTTTGGCCAATCTACTCAGGAAGTGAGCCGTCTGAGTGGTGTCACCGGGCCCCACAACTGCAAAGACGTGTCCCCCCCGCGGCCAACGCCCCCAGGCTTCCAAGAAGAGGCTTGATGAATCCGTCCCAAAGCAGTGGAAAACCGCGGATTCGATTGGAATCCGTCCGGAGGTTCCAGCCAGCAAGTAGCGCTTATTTTTAACAGAAGGGTTAGCCATGGTAGTGAGCAACTCGCCTGACGTGGGTTGACCATTCAAGTGCGGGGCCGCGCGCGATCAGAGGTCGTTCGAGTGTTTTGAAGGACGGCTTGAAATTATGAAAGTGGAGTTGGGCTGAGGCTGTTTGAGGGTATCTCCCTCTCTTTTGAAACCCCACCTCTTCCTCTCCTCTCCTCCCCTCCCCTCCCCTGCCCTCCCTTCCCTCCCCTCCCCTCCCCTTCCCTCCCGCCCCTCCCCTGCCCTCCCCTCCCCTCCCCTCCTCTCCCCTGCCTCCTCCCCTCCTCTCCCCTGCCTCGCATCGGATGTGAGGGGCTGGCCCTGTCCGCCACCTGGGCGGACAACGTGTCCAACTACCTCCAAGCGCGGTGCTACAAGGTGATGCTCTGCGACCCGAAGGATGGGCGAAGGATGGGCGGGAGGGAAGAAGAAACGGAAATTCTCCAATTCTTGGTGGTTCGGCTACTACCTTGTTTAACTGGCTAGGTCCCCCAGTAGTGCCCTTTTACCCGTTTTTGGGGGAGGGTTCCCCTACTAAAATAGACTATAGAAAAAGGGTTCCCTTTTTCCACGGCTTCTAATGTTAACCCCGGATTAAGCAGAACCCCTGGTTGATTTTGATTGGGGGGTGTCCAATTCCTTTTAGTGGTTGGATTCAGACCACTTTTGGAGGCGGGTCTAATAATGGGAGGGATCTTCCAATTTTCAGGTGGTTCGGCAGGGCTCCTTAAAAGATACATTTTGCAACCAGTTGAAACATGGCTTTTTCAACACCAAAATAAAGGGAAACCACCATTTACAAGGCAATGTTCAGGTGTATAATGTAAGGATCCCTGATTCGGCTTCTACCTTGTTTAACTGGGGTTAAGTATAGCAAAGCCCGTGTACATACAACCATATTTGTAGAACCAGCAGTCAATCAGTCTTGGCTGCTCAGATGGGCTTGTCTCTGAGTGAATGCAGGCACATCTGCAAAACTGATTGTTTTTTCGAATAGCGCACATAATGGAAAAGAATACACACCTAGATGTGCTATGCTCCAGAGTTACAACTTGATTTCCCCATCGAGTCGTTCGGGCGGGGTTGACTTTCGAAGAGTAAGTCGCCGCCCCAAAAACACATCTGGCTGTGGGTCAAAACCAATGGTACCATTTTGGGGTAGGTGCACCACCCATTTTAGTTTTTTTTTGTTTGGGGGGGGGGATTGGGATGTTCACTGGAGGTACAAGGGTTTTGACCCATGGCCATCTAAACCAGCGGCGCCCCAAACCACCTACCCTCAAAAAACGACACACCGGCCAAAGCTCAGCACATCGTGCCCTCCACCTTGCAACAGGGACTCCCTGCAAAAAGTTCTACTCACACGGCTGTGGGTCAAAAATAGGGTAACCCCAAAATGGCACCCTGGTCAAATGGAAACAATGCCTAAATTCTGTGGTCCATATCCTGGTGGTTTAATTTTGACCCATACCCACATGGTTATAGCGGTTTATATGGGCGCGTCCTGTATTGAGGACACCCTTTTGGTGAGTTTAACGAGAATCCAAAGCTCACCACCTAGGTCAAACTTGTTGTTCGCTGCTAAAACGAGCTTCCAAAAAGTATGACTCAATGAAGTCAGGGAGTGGGCGGCGGGGTCGACAACCTAAGAGGCTCACTCGGGGATTCCTGTACTCCCTAGAGGGTTACCCTTTGAGGACGGTGGCAAAGGGAAACGAAATGGAAGGATGGGCCGGGGACCACCAAGAAGGCGAACCAAACAGGCGAACCAAGGAGGGGAACAAGCCAAGCGCGGTCAGCGGTTGAAGAAAAAGCGCTCAGACAGAGTAGGACGCCCAAATCAAGTCGAGCTAGCCTTTTGGGCTTCCAGGGTATGTGTTCCTTTTTTGTGTCTCCTTCAAACCAACCTAGCAAGGGTACCCTCAAAGAAACACACATTCCCGGTTCGGACGGTTTTGGTGGCACAATCTTCAAGTTTGGGTACTGTGGTTGCCAACCCGCGGAGGTGAGACGAAACACCAACACAACAAGGTCAACACCCCCCAAAAAAGGGTCGAGGACCTCCACCCGAACGAGCTAGGGCAGTTACGCAGGTCTTTGGCCATTCTTGGGCTCCATTTTTTTTTCTCGCACTGGCAATATCTTCCCTATGAAACGTCCGTTCCAGCACGTCCTTCGCCCACCCCCGGCCGAAACGAGCGCGCAATTGTAGGGGTTGATTCCCCACTCTTTTCAACCATCGTTCTTTTTCAAAAACCGATCGCTGTTCCCCTGGGTTTTTGCATGGTTTCCGAAAAGATTCGGATCCCTGGAAAGAATTGGAAGTGGAAGGTAGCCCTCGAAAAAGGCTTGCCCGCTGTTTGTGGGGCGGGGGGGGCACCGGTTTTGAATTAAGTGTACTTTTTGAGTTGGCCCCCCCCTTTTTCTTGGATGGTCTTTTAGGAAAGCCTTCATGCGGCGCTTCATGCGGCGGCTCGGTCGCGCGGGCGCGGCGGCGTTTTTTTTTGGTTGAAATCCAACTCCACTTGCCTGCTATGTTTTTTTTGGCAGAAATCCAAATCTTACCTGCTAAAGAATGATGGAATGGTTGTTCCCCTTTCAAAGTTCAGGACCTGACCATCCCGGACCTGGCGGCGCTGCGGAGCTCCGTGGCGCAGCAAGTCTTGGACCAGGCGCCAGCGGGCGCGGGCTCGGAGAAGACGAGCGGAGACAAGCGAGCGAGCGAGGGAAGGGAAGCCAGGCCAATCGCCTTTTGAGTGGCTCAGTTGTTCAGTGCCCCCCTTTTTCCAACTTTTTCTTTGGTGGCTGCTAAAATGGTCTTCCAAAAAAAGGGTTCCCCCTTTTTTTCCAGGGTCACTGAACTGAGGTGGGGATGCATCCACTCTTGGAGGGAACCCCCGCCTAAGAGTGGCACGGGTTCTACTTAGATCCTGGGTCAACATGAGCCTGAAAACCGGGGGGGCTGGTGGTTGGAAAGGGGGGAGGGGGGGGAGGGAGGAGGGGGACAGGTGGCCATGGGTCAAAAGCCAAACTCTCGTAGTTTTAGTGAACATCAAGATCTCCAACCACTAAAATAGGTCCTAAACTGGGTGTCCAATAATGTTCACCCCGGGATTAAGCAGAACCCCTGTTCATTTATATGAACATGGGGGCCCTCCAACAGTGGTCTGATTCCCCACTAAAACCAGTTGGACACCCCCCATATGAATAAGCAGGGGTTCTGCTTAATCTGGGGTCAACATTGGCCTTAAAACTGGAACCAAGTGAGCTGGTGGTTGGAAGGCACAGGAGGGGGTAGAGGGAGCTAAGGAGCTACCAGTTCAAAGGTAATCCCAATCTGTTCGAAGGGAATCCGGTAAACCTGAAATCCTTACCTTGGGTTGCGCAGGTCCCCCTTTTTTCGTGGCTTCCCTACAGGGATTGTGGAGAAGGATTGGCCAACAAGCAAGGGTTGAGAAGCATCTGGGGTCAGAGTCAAACAATATTGGTTGATGAACCCCAGATAAATCAACCCCAGCTTATTAATAGGAGGGGGTGTCCAACAGGGTGAAATGTGGGGAATCAGACCACTTTTGGAGGGTTGAACACAAAACACCCGCCTTATTGAGAAACTGGTGTTGATGAATATGGGCTTGTTCAATGACACATCCCAAATTCACCCGCCAAAGACGGGTTTCCAAACCACCAACTCTTTCCCAATGAGTGGCGCACCCATGTTGCCACCGGACCCAGGACCTGGTTTAGGAATAAAGAAGGCGGCGAAGGCGCCCCAGTAGTGAAAAGAGTTGAACCCCGGCCTGGTGTTTCGCCAGAACTCATACTGTGGATGGTTGCGCGAAATCCTCTTAGGCACCGTTCAGAAACCATAAACGAAATGAGATGATCCGCAACGTAAATACCAACTCTTCTGGTTTCAACCATGGTGTCTTGGGTGGTGCGAAATAGATTTTGTCCATCCACAGTAGGATTGCAACTCCCCGGCCGCAACCCGCACCTGTTTCCTCAAAACACGAAGTCCTTGTTTGACAGCTGGAAGCTATGCAATCTCTGCCCAGAAAGGCCCTGGAGTAGGGTTCCGGAAGGTTGCAGGGGGTTTTACTGTTGGGGATACCACCTACCTAGATGGCCAAGTTGCCGCTTGCTTCAGTCACTGCTGGTTTTTGGGGTAAAGTGCATGGAAAAAAAAGCGATCGCAACTGGCGATCCAGGGTGGTTTGAAAGGGAAACCGACAGGAACGCCAACCATTTTGGGGGATCCAACCTAAAAAGAGACGAGCCACCCACAAAGTGTTCCGGGTTTCGGAGCCCCCGACGCAACCAGTGGGTTGCAAAGGAAAAGAGCTCACATGGTGTTTTGGAAGCTTGGTGGCTCCCAGTCATCGCCATAGCTTGTTCGCTTTTTAGTGTGTCGGCGTTTCCACTTAAGCCACTAAAAGTTAACAACTTTTATCCGGGGTCTGAAAACGGACAGCCCAGGAAAAAGACTTCAGAATTGGGGTTCTCCTTTGGGAAGAGAAGCCTCGGGTTCCAGCCCTGGAGTCAAAATTTGGACGCCCACCCGTTGGTTTTCGGGAAAGGGGGGTGGTGATTGAGGCGAGGGGGATGCTTGTTGGATCCCAAAAGGTTGCGTGTCAATGATAATCCAGGATTATTCATTCGCTCCCTCCCCTTGAGTTTCCAGACTTTTGGTGGCAAGCAAGTTTCTTCCATTTGCTTAAAATCAGTTTGTCCCCTCTTAGTCAAGGGAATGTATCACTGCCCGACATGTCTGTTTTTCCAGGGGACAGAAGCAAATGGAAGTTAGGGTACCCTTTAGCTGGTGGTTAATGGTGGCTTAGGGGTTTGAACCTCAGTTTCTTTGAAGCATTTCAAATGGGGAGCCAATCCGAACCGCCAAATAGTAATAGGTGACTTTTTACGAACGAGAAACCGAAAAGGACACCCCCAAAAGTGGTGGGGGGGGGGGGGAGTCTTGGGGTTTCATGAAAGACCCATGACCAGTTGGTAACCTGGGTTATTCCCCGGACCATGGCTTTGCTTTTGCCAGTCGGAAGAGCAATGGGTGTGGGTCAAAAATAGGGTAGCCCCAAAATGGGTTGCCCAATCGGTAAATGGAAACGGGTTGGACTAAAACCTGCGGTCCACATCCTGGTGGTAGCTTTCGGTTGGAATTGCATGGTGAATCAGCAGGCCTTTTTTTGTGTATTATATTCCACCGGAACCCACGTTCTTTTCCTATTCTTATCATGGTTCCTGATGGGTTCCTATTTCCGGTGTTTTCTCCACTTGTAGTATTCATTTGTTGAAAATCCCCTTCCTGGTTGATTCTGCACCCACACAAGCATTGCACCCAACTGCCGGGTCCCCTTTACCCCTTGACTTTTGGGTGTTCTGACCAACCTCATTTTTTAAGGGTCCCTCTGGGAGACTCCAGGGGTTTTCTTCAAGGAATCGAATCCGCCAGCCGCCAGTTCCTTCTCAAAAGCGGGTGTATGGAAACAGCGGGTAAGACACTTCCCCAGAATGGAAACTCCCCCCCTTCTTTTTTTCTCTCTTTTTCTCGCTTTTTTGGGGGTGCCCTTTTTTTTCTCCGCAAACCAGGCAAATCTACCTGGAGTCTCCTTCTGACCCTTAAAAAATGGTTGGTCATTACCCCAAAAGTCAAGGGTCATGGACCCATTTTGAGACTCCAGGCAGGTTGCTGTCCGAATTCCAGCCAAGGGTTCAGGCGAATGCCTGAAACCGAAAAAGTCCGGAATCTGGGTGCAGCAAATGGGTTGAGTCTCTTTTTTGGAGGGTATTTTTGCGTGTGTGTTTTTTGCCCAGAGGAAACTGGAAGGAGCAAACCTCGTTTTGGGGTCCTGGTCCGATTCCTAAAGAAAGACACCCCTCGCTAAAAGACCAATTCCCAAACAGAAGAAGGTTGCAAAGTAGAACCTAAGTAGCCATCATCCCCCAAGTTGATTCGGCACCCAAACCCAGCGATTCGATCGACTCTCGCTAGGTTCCGCCAGGCGACCGCTTGGCCTACGAGGCGCGGCGAGAGGTCGGGGTGGCGCTGGGGTCAGGAAGTGAGTTGCGGTAAATTGAAAGGACTAAGACCTGCGGTCTGGCTTTGAACCATACCCATACGGTCAATCAAGGGAAGCCCTTTTGTGGGTGTCAATCTTGAGGCTCGGATTCCCAAAGACGAGCCATATGGGCATGTGTCGAGCCCTTTTTTGAGGCGCGAAAGGGCGCCCTCTTTGCCAACCATAGGGCCCCCCAATGCTGTGGATGGACGAAATCCAGTTCGCACCCACCTAAGACACCCTGGCTTTTGATGATTCTCCAGTAAATCCCAACAAAGAATGTTTCAACCATGGTTTCTTAGATTGTCATCCAATGTAGTGTTTTTTAGAAGCATGTTGCAACCACTCGACCCATGTTGGGAAACATTCTTTGTTGGTATTTACGTTGGGGAATCATATCATTCCTGGGTTTCTGAATGGTGGTGCAAATTGGATTTCGTGTCCATCCACAGTAGGGGTCCGGTTTTGACACATGCCGTGTCCGTGGGTGTTTTTTCACACTGTGCCGTGCCGAAAATGGCGTTCGGGTGGCAACGGTGGAGTATCGCTTTCAACCACAAGAAAAGGTCCACATTTTTTTAGAACTTTTATTTTTTTTTGGGGGGGGAGTGATTTTTACTTGACTGTTATTGGGTAACGGATCTTTAGACTTTAACTTTTTGAGTGAAATCAAGTTGCATTTTCCGTGCTAACCCCCCCGAAAAGTGAAACACTTTTTGCAGGGGGGTCAACAGCAACCAAGTTTAGAAGCAGCCATTTTTTCCCCAACAGCTGAAAGCTTTGGGGTCTCAGCCCAGATAGGCTCCGGGGTAGTCCGGAGCGGCCCTGAGGTAAGGTTCCACGAGGGTTCCACCAGGGTTCCACCAGGGTCCACGAGGGTTCCACGAGGTTCTGCGAGGGCTGCGGAGAACCGCATGCTGTTGGGGATATCACCTGAGCTTATTTTTTTTTTTTTGGCGGGGGAGTGATTCAAACATCCTTTCCCAGGGGGTGTTTAAAAGGGGACATGCGAGGAACTTTGTTCTCGCTTGTTGATAGTAATGTTGATCCCATATTAATCAACCCTGTTTATGAACAAAAGGAGAATGGCTGGTTACCTACTGTAGTGGCTGGGATCCGCGAAGGGATTCTGTGGATGGGTCCTCGAAATCTTCCAGCAATTGGTGCCCTTTTTGAACCCCTTTTTTTTGGGGGGGAGGGTTCCCCTTCTAAAATAGACTACAGAAAAAATAGGGTACCCACTTATTCTGACCTCTCCACAGGTTAGTTAAGCCGCCAGTGACTCGGATCCTTGGGCCTCGGCTCTCTTCTTTTTTTTGTGGTGGCCGGGTGGTTTTTTTTGGTGGGAGAGAGATCCGGTGTTCTGTTGTTACATTGCATCAACAAAACATTGCAACCAGACCAGCCAGGCCGGAAAGCCGGCTCAAAGCAAGTTTATAGCAGGACCATGGTTTCAAGCAGTGGGTCGCGAAGAAACTGCCATGGCAAGGGAGATTAAGGTGCGGCAGCTGTCTGGGAAGGAAGAAGCATTCGAAGTGTCCATACACACAACCGTCAGTGAGTTCAAGAGGCGGCTGCACGGCTGGCTGCCCTGCGAAGATGAATCAAAGCGCAACATGAGCTCAGTGGAGGTGGTTGTTGCAGACAGGCCCCTGTTGAACAACGCAGAGCTGCTGTCCAAGGCAATTCCAGGTGCAGAAGTTTTAGCTTTCCTGAGCATCAAGCCGATGAAGTGCTCAAGCTTGCAAGCCTCCGGCGTGGTGCCTGGAGATTTGCGTGTGGTGGAGATTCCAGGAAGCTTGACTAAGATCGAGAGTGACGCCTTCCAAGGTTGTCGCTCATTGGCGAGCGTGACTATTCCCAGCTCTGTGACTGACATTGGAGAATGTGCCTTCCAATGTTGCAGCTCGATGGCAAGCGTGACCATCCCCGACTCTGTGACTGAGATTGGACGATCTGCCTTTCAAGGTTGCAGCTCATTGGCAGGCATGACGATCCCCGATTCCGTCACTGTAATTCGGGAGTTTGCCTTTCTAGGTTGCAGCTCATTGGCAAGCGTGACCATTCCCAACTCCGTGACTCAGATCGGGTTTAGGGTCTTCCATGGTTGCAGCTCATTGGCAAGCGTGACCATTCCCAACTCTGTGACTGACATTGGAGAAGGTACCTTTGAAGGTTGCAGCTCATTGGCGAGCGTGACCATTCCCAACTCCGTGACTGAGATTGAAATTTGGGCCTTCAAAGGCTGCAGCTCGATGGCAAGCGTGACCATCCCCGACTCTGTGACTGAGATTGGAGAATGTGCCTTTGAAGGTTGCAGCTCAATGGCAAGCGTGACCCTTCCCAACTCTGTGACTGAGATTGGGAAACGTGTCTTTCAACATTGTAGCTCATTGGCGAGCGTGACCATTCCCAACTCCGTGACTAAGATTGGAATTGGTGCCTTCAAAGGCTGCAGCTCGATGGCAAGCGTGACCATCCCCGACTCTGTGACTGAGATTGGAGAATGTGCCTTTCAAGGTTGCAGCTCATTGGCAGATGTGACCATCCCCGACTCCGTCACTGTGATTCGGGAGTTTGCCTTCCAAGGTTGCAGCTCATTGGCAAGCGTGACCATCCCCGACTCTGTTGAGATAGCAGCTGATGTCCGAAGGCAGCTGCACGGCTGGCTGCACGAGAAGAAGGCTTCTTCGGGAGCCCCACTGGGCAAATTTCGCAGAACCACTTAGTAGATACTTCCACTGGAAAACCACCAATATAGACTGGGTTCTTGCAGTTTGGCACACATCCATTTCCACGTTTGTAGAACCGAAGCTATGCCTCGCAGCAGTATCCTGCAGAACCCCCGCAGAACGTGAACACAGCAAGCTGGCCAATTGCTGTTTCACAGTTTCACCAGAGTGGCGCTCATGAGCCAGTGGTCAAAACACCTTGCAGCAGCTTTTTTGGGGGAGATCAGGGACGGTCAGGGATAGGCAGCTTCGGACATGATAGGGACTGTCGTCCGAGCTGGAGCACGCCTTTGTTTTCTGAGTAAAGAAGGAACAGCATGGACGTTAGCAACGGTCAATCTTGACCTTCATTGCTGTAGCAAGGGGCCACGCTCACAAATTTATTCAAACGTAAAGCAATTAACAAAGCACACGTCAAGTAAGAGCATGCAGAAATTGTAGGGGTGCCTTTCCAATTCTTTGCAGGCATCCTTCTTTCTAAAACACCATTCCAAAAACCCTTGGGAAACAGCGATCGATTTTTGAAAAGAACGATAATTGAAAAGAATGGACAAGGAACCAAGCCCCAGAGAAATGTTGCTGTTTCTTCCTGCCATAGAAGAGGGGCAGGACGATGCGTTTGCACTTGAACATCAAGCCAAACAGAGCCCTTCATTTGCCAAATGTCACCGCTATTTCTTTTCTTGGGGACTGCACTTGCGCTAGATGCGACGTATGGCTCAAAGCTGCCATGTCAAGCCCTAGCTGACACATGCAACCAGCCAGGCTGGAAAGCAGGCTCAAAGCAAGTCTACCAGAACATCGTTTCAAGCACTTGGTCGCCCAGAAACTGCTATGGCAAGGGAGATTCAGGTGCGGCAGCTGTTAAGGAAGAACCATTCGAAGTGTCCACACAAGCAACCATCAGTGAGTTCAAGAGGCAGCACGGCTGGCTGCCCGATGTAGCTTTCCTGAGCATCAAGCCGATGAAGTGCTCAAGCTTGCAAGCCTCCGGCGTTGTGCCTGGAGATTTGTGTGTGGTGGAACTTCCAGGAAGCTTGGCTAAGATCGAGCGTGACGCCTTCCAATTTTGCAGCTCATTGGCAAGCGTGACCCTTCCCGACTCTGTGACTGAGATTAAAGAACGTGCCTTCCAATGTTGCAGCTCATTGGCAAGCGTGACCATCCCTGACTCACTCACTCGGATTGGAGGAGGCAGCTCATTGGCAAATGTGACCATCCCCGACTCCGTGACTCAGATTGGGCCCAGAGCCTTCCAAGGTTGCAGCTCATTGGCAAGCGTGACCCTTCCCAACTCCGTGACTCAGATCGGGTTGACTCAGATCGGGTTTAGGGTCTTCCAAGGTTGCAGCTCATTGGCAAGCGTGACCATTCCCGACTCCGTGACTCAGATTGACCCTTCCGAACTCTCTGACTGAGATATTGGGGAACGTGCCTTCCAAGGTTGCAGCTCATTGGCAGCTCATTGGCAAGCGTGACCATTCCCCCACTCTGTGACGATTGAAAACATGTGCAGGGGGGTTGCAGCTCATTGGCAAGCCTGACCATGCCTTCCACGGCTGCAGCTCATTGGCAAATGTGACATCCCTGCCTCAGTCGCTCGGATTGGAGGAGATGCCTTCCAAGGTTGCAGCTCATTGGCAAGCGACCCTTTCCGACTCTGTGACTGAGATAGCAGCTGATGCCTTGGGAGGTTGCTGCTTGGTCAGGAGAAGAAGCAAGGGAGCACCTTCTTCGGGAGCCCCATTGTGCAAAGTTCGCAGAACCACTGGGTAGATGCTTTCCCTGCAAAGCCACCAATATAGACAGGGTTCCTGTATTTTGACACATATCCATTTTTATGTTTGCAGAATTGAAGCTATGCCTCGCAGAAGTATCCTGAAGAATTCCCGCAGAGAGAACTCCTCAGAAGCGCAAATTGCCGCAGAAAGTGTTTGCCGAGACCACGGCAAGCTGGCCAATTTCTCTTTCTTGCTGTAGCAGACACATCGTGCTGTCGCCCGAAATCCTCAGACAGTTTCACGAGAGTGGCGCTTATGTGATCCAGTGGTCAAAGCATCGGGACAGCATGCATGTTTGGGGGAGATCAGGATGGAGAGGGGTTTGCAGCTTCGGACATGATCTTGTCCGAGCTAGAGCAAGCCTTTGGTATTGAGTAAAGAAGGAACGGCTGAGAAGGAATCAAAGACCTTTGTTGCTGTAGCAACGGGATGGCACGGGCACGCTCATCA